GTAATGAGGTTGTTAAATTAAACATTACTGGAATAGTAAATCAATGATTTAAAAAGTGGCAACTTTATGAAATTGGCTCTTGGTTAATGGAGGTGTGATGTTGGTCGAACATAAAACGGTTAGCGAGGAAAGGAACCATTCATATAACAAAACACTGGGTTCCAGTATTCTCTAAAGACCGGACATGAGGCTGGTAATTATCACACAGTTATTTGTTTCTTCATCCGATCATCTAAATTCAATGAGATGTCAGATCTGAGTGTGTGTGTGTGTGTGTGTGNGGGGGGGGGGCGGGGGTGCCAGAGTAGGTTCGGGAAGCTTATATGTTTCTCATGCGCACAAAGCGAGTAGCAGTGGGGAAAAATGTCCTCCGTTGATTTTTCCCTTTTCCCGAGGCTGCACGTGATTTGTTTTCTTTTTCTTCTCAAGTATAATTGATGCCTGATTGCCTGTTTCATAGTGGAAAGTGGTTTGTTTCATTGTGTGCGTTGTATGCTGTTCAGCCAGACGCACAAAATCTTCTCAGTTCAGGATGAACTGACACCCGTGCTATAACAACAATCCATCTATATAGTAGGATTTCTCCATTTTTGGGAATTGCACTACTTGGATCTATGTTGTCATTTTCAGGCCAATCTGTTGACTGTGATCGGGGCGTATTTTCGCAAACCGTGTGACCTGGTCGCACAAATCAAGCTTCAACAACGTTTGGAGACACTGAAAATTCCCGATTTGGAACACAAAGAACGATACAAACAGATATGCAAAAGATTGAAAGAGGAGTTGTTAATGAGTGCACGCCTGTTCAAGGCTGGCATGTCTGATCCGCCACTGGATCGTAATATGCCCCCGTTTGCGGGTACGTTCATCGATCGATATGTGGTTGCCTACATGAATCACACAGGTTCATTGAGGTACAGTTACGTGTGAGCAGAGGTGTGAGAATTCAAAGCCCCGAGTCCATTGCTTCCATAGTGTATGGTTGACTGACAATACACTGAGGATTGTGCGTGGTGATGGACTCGGAAAAGTGGTTCGTTTATATCAGTCACTCCATTGAAAACTGCTTTCGTTTATCCAAAGGGATAACATTTTCAGCACGAGACAGACAGTATGATCTACTGAAATTCTCCATTTTCTCTTCTACTTTACTTCAACTTTCCCGTCTTCCTGCTATTGCATCATCTAAATAGAAAGACAAAAAACAACAACCAAAACTGTTGCATAAAAGCGCATGACTAACGGGTGTGCAAACTGAAACTGAGCTGAATTATTGGCGTTTTTATTCGAACTTTTCAAAACGAAGTAAATGATACGAATGCTTCAACATATCAGTTTTGGTATGGAATAAGTAGTAATGGTGTATATATATATATAGTGTGTGTGTTTGTGTGTGTTCATGTGCTACATGGTAGAGATGCAGTCTATGTGTGAGTGCTGCGATCGGGTTGCGTCGGATAGGATATGAAAAGGTTACCCTCACGTAACTCACCGATTACACTTCAGCTACTTCGTTATTGGCAATATATCAAAACGATCGTTCACTTTAAATGACAAAGTAGAGCCCCAACGGTTGATGGAAGATGAAGAATAACTTCGTTCAAGAAACCAAAATTATTCTGAGATTTATTTCGGATTACAACATCGCCAGTACATAGAGAGCAGTTGGAGTTTATAAGGATTGTTGGACAAATTACGAATGCGCACAAGAATAAGAAAGAAAGAATAGCATCTTAACGTACTTCAGAATGAATCACTAACATTCATAGAAGAAAAATGATGAAACAGTGCCCCAATGCTTCCCAGCTTCTCAGCTCACGCCTCATTTATACGACGAATTTATCATAAAAAAATAAAGTCATATTGTGAAATTTGACTAAGTTACAAGGCATGGTAGAAGCAAAGTTACCAGGAGGTTTCAGTCATTTCTAAACTCAGCAAAACTTTCATTTCCTATTGATCCATTGTTTTCTAACGAAGAACATTTAAGATTTTTTAGTTTCATGTAATGTAATGTATTTGAGATTTTTACCTCACTTTACTGATTTTCAAAGTACTTAGATAAGTCACTTGGTGAACATTTGTTTTGGCTAACTGATTGGGATTCTTGGTTACTTCCTTCATGCATCCCATTTTCCCCTCCATCTACAAGGGCGTATTGCTTGGGCTCGATCCCTGTATCAACGATTGGAAGAACCTATGAACACGTTGGGTAAACGTGCGGCCAAAATACTGCTCAGTGAACAAGGTCAAGAATTGGTAGCTCTGTACAACGAGACCGTGGGTCAACTTGTCGGATACGAGATCACAGTCTATCAGACATGGAGCAAAATGGTGTGATTTTTCAGTTCTGTTTCAGTTTATTCCGCATGGATTTAGTTTATCCGCTACAGAACTACTAGCTGCAGATCAAAAGAGAATAGATTGTTTTAATCTGTACGATTAGTATTTCAGGTCCCCAGTTCTGGAAGCCACAGCCCCCCCCCGCCTTCCATTTGCCCAGGTTTTCCCGAGTTACTGATTGGTCCACCTCCACATGCGTACTTTTGCGCTAATCTATGGGATTATCCTATTTTCCCTTATCTGTCTCTTCTTTTTTATCTGTCTCTCTCAATTTGGCTAACGACACTTTCGAGATCAAAGTAAATGCACTTCCGTGTCTACATGCACAGGCTTCAATCGAACAGGATTCAGTGTGACGAGCCCAAAAGGGAACGGTTCACTTTCATTGATTCCATTGCTCACAACGATCTTCCGCGTCCATACATTTTTCCTTTTTATATCACCTGTTCCCAATGTTTATAGTGTCTTGCGCAGTCCACAGATGAACTGCGGGATCAGCACCTATTGGACCGCGGATGATACGTAAATTGCTAACAGATTCATCGAGCTCGACGCCTTCAACCTAGCACTATGAAAGTTCAGTTACTTGAGTAACATGTAGACAGGTAACACAAGCCTTCGTGCTGTGATATTTAAGTTGACACGTGGTGGTGATTAGATCACAGTAGCACTCTGAGCTGAATCGGTTGGATTTCTTCTTTTCTGTCCTGTTGCTAAGCCCCACCGGTACCATGCTGATCCGACTTATCTCGAATGTATCTATAATCACTTGGGTAAGCTCGGTGATTAAGAGGAGGAAGATGGTACACACGTTGTAAGATGTTAGATTGTTACTGGGGCATCAAATCGGGTCACCATACACTGTAAAAGCTACCGGTGTGCTTTTACGATTCCTCAGCCCGTATAATCATTTCGATGACTCTGACCATGGATTTCATCATTGAAACCGTTGTGACGGGTTCAAAGCACATTGGCTAGGTCAACACTTTAAATGCCCATTGATATAGTAAAAAAGATTATTACCAGGTATTCAATGATCATTTGGTAATCAAATCCTCACATCGTAGATGCTTATTCCTTGTTATATCATTTTCTAAAACCCAGACGGCTTTCGGTGCATTTTTACTCTGTAGTGCGAGAAAGTAACCAGTCGCTTGAGTGCTTCACTTGATATTTCTCGGGGGTTCAAATGCACCAGACAAATTGAATTGTCTTCCTATTCAGCGCTACCTTAACCCCGATAAGTGACACTGTTGGATCGGTAAACACATGGAAAAAAAATCGGTCCTTAATGTCACACTTTAACCCACGTGGTCGAACCAACGCCGTGCTTATGCGTACACGGTATTCAGGTTTGGATACCAGTCCCATCACAATCCCATTGGACGAAGAATTTGTAAAACCCGTGAAGCGACAAACGAGCTCTAATAAAGGTCCAAACGACCACGGTCTAACACAAAACGCTTCAATGCCTACATGCTTACATGCTAACTGGTGGATGCCACATGCCTCTGTAAGTTGGATGGGTAAATTCGAATGTGAAAAAGATCAGTGCTATCGGTGTGGCCTCGTAGCTCAGCTGGTAGAGCATGCGCGTACAAAGCGTAGGCGGTGTCCATGCGTGAGTTCGAATCCCACCGAGGCTACTGAACTTTTCACAATCGACATACAAAACGACCCAGTACGACTGCCCTTACCTAGTCGGTTGTTTAACTGGCCTGTTATGTGATTGGCCGACTCAGCGATCATCCAATCAGATTATGCCCAGTCGATGGTGTGGTGCGCACGCGTGCGTTCGTCGATTGACCGTATGTTCCGTAGGCTATGGATGAAAGGTCGGGCTATGCCCTTCTGCTTCCCTTGTTGGTGGATAAGAAGGCGCCGAATAGATGATAGCATGAGACCTTCTCGAACTGTTCGCTTCTAAATACTGCAATATATATAGACATTATAGGCAACTTAAAAAAACAGCTGATTCGTAATCATAAAGACGACTGTATGCATTCGTCAATTCTTTTGGAAATGGTTTTACCACGATTGTCAATAGTTTTAGGGTGTCTTAAGAATGAATTCTGTTTGACGTAGTTGCTTTCCATAAGATTTATTCCTCGATGTCGTAGTATTTTAGAATATATAAACCGATTCCAATTTGGCCCTTTTGGGCACTAGATTGATACCCATTTTCGTTTATTCAAACTCCACATTTATCATTCACAGTTGATCAAAAAAATGTCCAGTATGTCTTCTTCAGTGATCATTTTCTCGATTGAACCACCTCCGTTCGGTCGTCCATATGTGAATATGGATCCGGAAGTTATTGGATTATTACGCGAAATCGAGTGTTTGGACAAGCTGCAATGTCCGATTCCTCGTATTGCCGAAGAGTTCTGGTTGAAAGCATCGATTCTGAAGGAGAACTATGAACAATTGAAGGTACATGTTTGGTTCTTTTGATATTCATTGCACAAGTGTCACAGTTCTTCCATTCTATCTCCGACATTCCCCGTTTTGAACTTGTCACCAGTCTTCCTAGGGTGCAAGGGATAAACATGATTGTTTGCGATGAGGTTAGTTTACAGTTCCAATCGGCACAGTTGGAAAGATGTTACTGTGTACGGTCCAACGCAGTGGTGCCTAACACAAGTAAGGAAAAGATAGGACTTATATTCAAATCAGTCTTCGTAGTTGATCGTTTAAATTCTCATCCCGGTATTGGTCAATACCGCAAACGTATGCTGTTACCATGGTTCTCAAAATCTATCCATGTTTCACCCCGTTCTTCGTATCCTCGGACTCCATTAGTGACAAAATCCAGAAACGGAACCCACAGATGTGTGCGCAAAGTGCGTAGGTGCGTGAGCGTCACTCAACCATATCATAGCATCCACTGTCTCTCAGTGTTGACCAACCTGGACTCAAAGTCCCATTTGAGGAAATTGGATATGAATTACATGATAAAACCCTCAGATCAAATTTATTGATCCAAGTCATGGTTCAACCATCCTTGGGCTTTGTAGTATGTCCGTCAGTTGATATTTCATCGTTCAAACTGTAGTCGTTAAACTTCCGAGTTTTCCAACCCCGAGACACAGGCAACGGTTGGCTTACTGCAGAAAATCAAATGAAATAAATCAAATGATGGAAGAAAGCTCATTGGTTGTATGTCACCGGTCCAATCAGAACTCACATTCACATTTCTATTAAATCCCAAATCAAACCCTTTACTTCATTGGTCATATTTCCATCGTTTCTCTTTGTGTGACTTATTTGGCCCATTGTCTGAACTAATAGGTATATGAAGTACATACATACAGTGCTTTTAACTACCCTATGACAAGCCGAGTGTCGAATCATCACAATTAATTCGAGTGCAGTGGAAATACCAACAGTGTTCAGAATATGGCTCATGCTTAGATCAACCACTTAATTTGCCTACTGTTATGTTGTTTGACTCAATTGTAGTAGGCGTTTTATGGGCACGAATCATGAATTACAAATCACAATCGCATTTGCAGTACGGAATCGTACCAGCAATCGTAATCCGGAGTCTCCCGTCGTCCTTGAGATGTTGGAGGAAGAATGCAGAATGAAAGATTGCTTTCTTTTGAAGGAAACCAACGGGATTGAATACTGCATGCAAACCAAAGTCATTGATTAAATAGACCCTCGTCAATGGAGTGTCACAGAACATGTTTGAACCGCACGGCTTCGGATTGGTGGATAGAAGCTGGAACACGTCGTCCAGTGGCTGAAGTTATCTCTGACACTTTGATAGCCGCAACTTACCACTCGGTTGATTAAATGCTCACATCGAAATACTGCTATGTGAATAAAGTACTCTTTTATATTTGACACTTACTCAATGCTAACTCAATTGGTTATCGCCTCGAACCAGAGCTCTATCGCATGCCTATCCGGTTCTGTATTCGGCCTTGTGACCCCGTATTGTTTTACAATTATTTCTACAGCTCATGTGCAATGAATATGTACGGATCACCAAACTTGTCCCGCCCAATTTGACACTGCTTATCAGTCCCACCGTTCAACGTTTGAATCGAGCATTGCAGCCGGGTATTGTTTTGCACAACTGGAGTAGCGTCAGTTTGAAATCATACATCCAGGTATGTCTTTTAAAATTTGTTTGCAGATTCTATGTAGCTTCCTTCACTTTCCTTCACTCACATATATACATACATACAAGTTCTATTGGCATCATTTTCACTGCGCCCTACTCATAGGAACCTTTCACTAAGCACTTACCTCGTGACATTTACTTAAGTCCGAATCTCCCAACTTATGTTTCGTCCTATTCGTTCTGGAAATTTTATCATGGATTCTATGCTAATCAAAGTCCTATTTTAGCGTGGAAAACAATCTTCGATTTCGGAGAACGTATGTATTCGACGAAAGAACTAGACTGCATCGGAGCACAGTCGGCTTAACTTATAATCGAGTATTTAGAAATGACAAAACTGTTGTTCCTGAATGCCTTGTATCCAACCGATCCATTGAAGTAAAAGATGCTTACTTAGATATCATCCTGCCCTCGTTCTGTTTATTTCTATACATGAAAAACCTTACCGATACCCTTGAGCAATAATTGATTGCTAAACACATGCGGATAATTGTTTGGTTAGGTTCTATCTCTTGTGCATATTTAAGTGTTTATTTACTTCAATAAACTAATCACAGCTTTTTGCAATCAGATGAGATTTTTATCCATTTGCCTATCTGCTACCATACACTAATTTTCTCTCTGTTGTATTTTATGAATCGGGCCAAACATACGAATTTTTCATTGAACTAAACTCGTTTTGACTTCAAAATTCCCAGACAGTTAACTAAACACAACCCTCAACATGTTTATAAGTGAGTAGATTGACTTGAAAGCACAGAACAAGTATATCTGACCTCACGTGAATTCGGATAGTTGGTACACTTCGTCAATGTCAAAATAACGAGGGGCTAGTTTCTTGATCGATACCATCCGGAAGTTATGACTCAATTAGATCAGAAAACCTTCGAGATCCCGAATATCATGTTTGAAGTAAATCGAATTGGGCTTAACTCCACCAAACTGCTCAAAGGATCCTGAACTCTGAATCTCACTGTCTGAATACAAGCTATTCAAGGGCTGCCCGAAATGATATATTGGAATCTTTAATTCCCCAGAGATAATGGGCAATTGTTATTACTGTTTTTTATCGATTTGAGCTGACTGTCCGTTGGACTTCACCTTCACGCACAAACCTCAGTTCATCGATTCAAGCATACTGTCGGAAGCACTAGACTCCAGTTTCACTGTTATTAGAGCTCATCACCAGTAGTGCATATCCACCGTCTCGCATGGAATGCGTGTGCGTTATCACTGTGTGTATTAATCGGAATATACACGAATTATTATTCGCGATTCGCAATCGCCGAGGCAATAAGAAATGACAACAACACTCGTTTGCCGAAATATCCTGTCACCGTAATGCAGAAACAAGGCGACACAAGTAGTAGTTCATATATTGAAACGGGCATCAATCAATCGCCGCGCTTCTTCTCCGAGTCATAAGAATTCTGTTTGAACTGCATGCCATTTTAGTGGTCAATACTGTTGGCCTGTAGTCGGACGTCCAGAAACTGGAACGCATAGCCCCTTAGCTGATGTTATCTCGGAGGCTTGACTTATCACTGTTTCGTTATGTTCGTTTTTAATTTAATAAATCGGTTTGAAAACAAAATCCACCTAGATTTTCGTAAGTGTCCTTTATCCCCACAGTGGTATTGTTTATTCCGCACAGGAAGTCTCTCAAGAGCTCAGTCGACTTGAACGTATTCTGGATCAGGCCAATCAAATTCTGGAGCATCGTATCAGTGCTGTACTCAAACGGATTGCACAGTGTCAATTGCTCAGTTTGCCCGACGATCCGAATTCCCCGTTGGAAATGATCGAATTGGTTAGACAAACAAGACAACAAACACGCAAAGCAGCTGAGGAGATTGACGCGCTCAGTTCGAGTGCGTTGTGTGCCGCAGTGGAATACGTGAATGGATTGTTGGTTGACTACGATGCGTTTATACAGCGAAACAATCTGGGTCCGCGTATAGCAGAAGAGTTACGTTTGAAACGATCTTACATTGAAGGAACAAAAGACCCGGCAAACAAGGGTAGGTGATCACTGGAGCTAAATAATAATGTTATCTGCTATTGCCGAGAGGTAACAAGTGAATGGAGGATGCAGTTTTATTCCCCAGAAAAAACATTAGAAAAATAAGGAATCTATTTATTATATCAGTTCGTCCGTTTATCTGTCGATCTGTCTTTTTACCCTTCTGTCTATCTATCCATAGTTTACAGTTTTCGACTCGTGATCAATGATTGAAGATTTTTGAAAGATATTTATCTATGAACAGCGCGGTGTTGCCAACCGATTGGCATAGCTTATACAAATATCAATCCATACAATTCCTTCTGATAACTAGGTAATTATTGCTTAGAAGTGTGAGTGAAATTTTATAATCATTAGCGTATTGATCAACTTTATGTCGTATTCCTTGAAGCATTTTGGTTGAATGATTGAACTAACTTGAGACAGATTGGTTGCACGAATAGCTGGAGCTCTATCGCATCAAATCAAATGCGATCACATGCGATAAATGTTCCACAGTGATCGTCCGATGGAACCGTTGAATGTGATTCGCCCTTGATTAGTTTGTAACTTTCAGACTATGATGTACATTTTTGAAAATTCACAGATCATCAAATCTCATCTATAGATAATTCAATGCGTTGATAATTCGTTTTGCTACTCAATCAACTGTCCGATTGGTCCGAAAATCGCGCGAACTCTGACCGATACCAAATACGAACCCATGCGTACATTCACGAGCGTATCCGGGGACCTGCACCCCACGAAGTTCCGCAGGGAAATCGCATTCATTTGATAATCAATCACGAGTATTCTTCAAAAATAAAATGCATGATATGGATGACCGTATATTTTCTATGAGTAAAATAATAGAATACAGTGTCACTGGCTCTATCCTCCGTCAAACCATATGATTTGATCGCTGCGCGCATAGTAAACCAATAAACCAATCGGTTCGCGTCCTCTCTGATTAAAACATCAAAAATCAGGATTCTGGCAGTTACAATCTTGGTAGACAAAATACATTTCACGAACCCCGTTTTATGCTATTGAATGTAGTGCAACGACTTCAATGTTGACTTGATGAACTGTATCTCGAATAATCTGCCAGTAGGATATGTAGTGGTTTCAGCGCTTGAATGGAAGAAAATTGCACATTGCAAACCATTCTGCTGGGCGAGGTGAGTGCCACACACATGCCTGGTGCCTTCGATGATGATCGATTATGTTACTGCGCGAAATTCACAGGATGAGTGGTTTCTGGATAAGTCTCATTCATGGAACTCAGGAAACGCCTCACAGCTGACAGCCATCTGGATTGGCACCTTGACATGGCGTGATGGTTTGCGTGCCTCAATGACCCTGCGAACTACACAGGATGGCTCCTCACAGCCGCAAATCCAATCATACCGGAAACGTCAATGAGTAGAGGCCGGAAAAAGTTCAGTCTCACAAAACAAGTTGCTTGAACATCTTCTTGCTTACTTCCATTATCCGCACCCGTCCCTGGAGTGGTCACTTCAGTAAATAAACACGGCGAGCCGCAGCCTACCGGTCAAAAACCCGCTAGATGAGCGTAGGAGCGGGGTACCTGGGGCTGCCTCTCGACGGCGGAAGAAGTCTTCGCACTTCACTGAACAGCTACCGCCCGCCAAAGCTGGGCAGCCTCCAGCCAATAAGGTGCTATCTCGTCCAAGTTCCGCTTGTCTCATTGGTTGCATGAGACCAAGGGCTGATTCCGAACAGTGGGCCGACAATCAATGCACCAGAGAAAAACACACTGAAGTGAGACCCAAAGCCTTCGGGAACAAATCTCCAGAAGCTCCTTCGTGAGCCCTTCTATCACATTCCAGCGTTGGATCTATGCCCCAATGCCTTGTGGATCAGACTTTTGAGTCGACGGCTTCGGTCAGGATTCCCCAAGAAAATCCCCGTCGTCGGTGTGGGCTACCGCGAAGTCTGCCGTGCCTCAAAGTCTGAGGCACTCATTTGGAAAAACCTCTTACCGATCTATCTAGTTCTTCCTCTCAATCCTGAATAATCCCAGATGCCTGTTTACGCCACCCATCGAATATCATTCAGCATTTTACCAACGAGGTCAAACAATCAGTAGTTACAGGAATTTAGAAGCCGAAATTTCCTTTTCACTTGGTCGCGTTCAATGTCCGCACACTATCAGATCGGTTAACAAGCTGCCTTAACCAGAACCCTTGAAACTTTCGATTCAGATGTATGCTGTCTCTAAAGCACGCATAC